TGGTGCTCAGCCTCAGACCCACGTCCTAGTGACCACATGCAGTCTGCTGGTCAAGCGTGGTGCCATATCCCAGGACCAGAACTTCACTGCTTCAAAAGATGGTCTTAAATTAATGACCCTGTACAGAGACTTCAATGCCCCAGAAGTTTACCATCACACAGAGATGCGAGTGCCTTCTGGTTACCCAGGCCTGTCCTGGGTGCTAGAGGTGGGGTGGGAGAAGACAGACTTGGGTCCGATTCTGGAGCACACATCCCAGGGCGCAAAGCCAAGCAGCAAACCCGCGGGCGGCGGCACCAGAGGGCACGTGCGAGGCGAGATGCCTGCAGGGTCCGTGAGCGGGTGACCACAGTCCTCCTAAACCAGGTGAAGGCCCCTCAGAAGGTACAGATGGCAAACGGCGAAAACAAAAATCAGCACAAAAAAACTCTTAAAATGTTATGCACAGCCCTTGCTCTCATCTGATAAGAGCACCGTGGCCTTCCTCCCGAAACTCATCGCCCCAGTGGCTCACGAGGCAACACGAGACAAAGTCCAACTGGGGGAGGGTCTATAAAAACCTGACCACCACCCCTAAAGCTCTTCCAGATCATCAAAACAAGGAGCGTCAGACAAACTGCCACAGTCAAGAAGAGTCCGAGGAGACGAGACACCGAAACGTCACGTGGGATCCTGGATGGGATTCGAGAACAGTAAAACATACGGAAATCGAGATGAAACACGGACATCAGTGAATAGAGACGTATCAGGGCAGGTGCACTAGTTGTGACAGTGAATGACACAAACGCAAGGTGACGTTTACATTAGGGGAAACTAGGTGTGGGAGACGGGGGAACTGTCTGTACTTTCCTCTTTTTCTCAAGTCTGAAACTACTGTAAAATTTAAAAGATTATTGTAAAGCTGCTCTGCAGAACCAAATGTCAGAGGGAAATGCAGCATGAAGTCTGCCTTACGGGAAAGTTCCTAGGAGGTGATAGAAAGGATGTTCTGTTGAGTATGTTAATTAAAGGTTGAGTATTTGCATTTTGATTAGGGAGAATGAGACCACAGATCTATACATAGTTTGTTAAACCAAGCTGAATCTTTCATTGTTCAGAATACGTTTTTTAGTTAGGTCGTGGTCTTAAAAGGGATGGTAAACAAGACCTCAAATTCTTCAAAACTATTAACTTTGGTTTTTTTAATCCTCAACGTTTCTGTTCATTTCTGGAAGGAATGAGGAAATAACTCGAGGAAATAGCTTTCATTGTGATATATTTCCACAAGTGGTGTCATAAAAGGAAATTTCCCTTCTACATTTGAAAATGCGTTGTGGCAACAAGGACACATCCCTCACAAGTTCCAGATAAGGATCAGCCGAGCTAATTATAACATTGTTGAGCATGAACTCCTCATTCTCATCATCATCACCAACTAGGCAATTGTAGATGACTGTTCTCTGACTATCAGTATAAACGGAAAGCATTTGCGTCCTTTTCCAAACAAATGAAAGCTGAACTTGTTGGTAGGCAGGAAACCAAGTAGAGTGAAAAAGCAAGTAGAGAATACTGACAGGGAGGACTCTTGCAGAGGATAGAAATGACCTGCATCTGTGGGGAAGTTGAGGCACTGGCTTTGAAATGACTGGCATCTCTTATTTTTCTGCACAACACTGAGAGTGCTAAATGAAGCTCCTATGACGTGCACGTCTGTTGTGCTCGGTCAACTCTCACCGCCACCATCATTGCGGAACACCTTACAGTTCACGAAAACTCACTTTCACTTATACACTATCCATTCTACAGATGAAGAATGCAAGTCCCAGGAGGTTCACTGGTTAGCCTTCGGTAGTAGAATTAAAGTCTTGTCCTTCCAGATGGACTCATGCTAGTGTGAGCAGAGAGGAAGTTAAAGAGACTGAAGAAACTAGAGGCCTTTGGTGTTACCACATCGCCATCATTTAGTGTCTGAGGTCCAACAGGGGCCTGCTTAATTGAGCATGTAGGGGATGATGAATTTATCTGTGAGGAATAAACGGTTTATTACACTGGCTCTCAAATCTTAGCAGGCAATAGAATAGCACATGCCCAGGGTTTCTAATTCAGCAGGTGTGAGTTGGGACCTGAAATCTGTATTTCTAACAAGTTTTCAGGTGACACTGATGCCGCTGGTCTTGGGACCATGCTTTGAGAATCCCCGGCCTAGTACCTTCCTCCTTAAAGGACCGGCAGGAATGGCATCAGTAGGGAGCTTAA